CTCCAACCAAAGTCCATCCAGGTGAAAGACGCACGCCGATTAAACATGATGACAATTTGAGGCCTGAAGGTGATTTTGAGCGGCCAGAAAGGCCAGAGTTTCGTCCTGCGGAAAGACGCCATCAAGTCCGACCAGACGACAACCTTAGGCCCGAAGGGGACTTTGAGAAGCGCACACCCGAAAAGTTCATTCCAGCCGAGAGGCCAAAGCAAAAGCGCCCGGAAGATAATCTGCGCCCTGAAGGCGAGTTTGAGCGCCCAACGCCTACGAAAGTGCATCCAGGCGAACGCCGGTCGCCTATTAAACACGATGATAACTTGCGCCCTGAAGGCGACTTTGAACGTCCAGAAAAGCCCGGATATCGTCCAGCTGAACGCCCACAACAAAAGCGCCCTGAAGACAACTTGCGTCCTGAAGGTGACTTTGAACGCCCAAGTCCGACGAAAATTGGACCTGCCGAACGTCGAACACCAATCAAGCATGACGACAATTTGCGGCCAGAAGGAGACTTTGAACGTCCAGAAAAGCCTAGATATCGTCCAGCTGACAGGCCACAACAGAAACGGCCTGAGGACAATTTGCGTCCTGAAGGAGAGTTTGAGAAGCGCACCCCCGAGAAGTTCATTCCCGCTGAGCGACCAAAGCAAATGCGGCCAGAAGACAATTTACGCCCAGAAGGAGATTTTGAGCGCCCAGAGAAACCAGGGTATCGTCCCGCTGAGCGCCCACAACAAAAACGCCCTGAAGACAACTTGCGCCCTGAAGGGGAGTTTGAGCGTCCTACTCCAACCAAAATCGGTCCAGGTGAACGTCGAACGCCTATCAAACATGACGACAATTTGCGCCCAGAAGGAGACTTTGAGCGCCCAGAGAAACCAGGATACCGTCCTGCTGAGCGACCACAACAAAGGCGCCCTGAAGATAATTTACGTCCTGAAGGAGACTTTGAGCGTCCCACGCCAACTAAAATCGGGCCTGCTGAACGTCGAACACCAATCAAACATGACGACAATTTGCGCCCAGAAGGAGACTTTGAACGACCCGAAAAGCCTGGATATCGTCCAGCTGAGCGACCTCAGCAAAAACGACCCGAAGACAATCTACGCCCTGAGGGAGAGTTTGAAAAACGCACCCCAGAAAAATTCGTTCCAGCTGAGCGTCCACAGCAAAAGCGCCCTGAAGACAATCTGCGCCCTGAAGGAGATTTTGAGCGCCCAACTCCCACAAAAATTGGCCCAGCTGAACGCAGAACGCCCATTAAGCATGACGACAATTTGCGTCCAGAGGGCGACTTTGAACGTCCGGAAAAGCCCGGGTATCGTCCGGCAGAGCGCCCACAACAAAAACGTCCTGAAGATAATTTACGCCCTGAAGGAGATTTTGAACGTCCCACTCCAACTAAAATTGGCCCAGCCGAACGTCGGACTCCCATTAAACATGACGATAATTTGCGCCCAGAAGGAGAGTTTGAGCGCCCAGAGAAGCCAGGTTACCGCCCGGCTGAGCGCCCACAACAAAAGCGCCCTGAAGACAATCTGCGCCCTGAAGGAGACTTTGAGCGTCCGACTCCAACAAAAGTTGGCCCAGGTGAACGTCGAACGCCTATCAAACACGACGATAATTTGCGCCCAGAGGGCGATTTTGAACGTCCCGAAAAGCCAGGATATCGTCCAGCTGAACGACCACAACAAAAACGCCCGGAAGACAATCTGCGCCCTGAAGGAGACTTTGAGCGCCCAACTCCCACAAAAATCGGCCCAGCTGAACGAAGAACGCCCATTAAGCATGACGACAATTTGCGTCCAGAGGGAGACTTTGAGCGCCCAGAGAAACCTGGATATCGTCCAGCTGAGCGCCCACAACAAAGACGCCCTGAAGACAATCTGCGCCCTGAAGGAGACTTTGAGCGCCCAACTCCCACAAAAATCGGCCCAGCTGAACGAAGAACGCCCATTAAGCATGACGATAATTTGCGCCCAGAGGGAGACTTTGAGCGCCCAGAGAAACCTGGATATCGTCCAGCTGAGCGCCCACAACAAAGACGTCCTGAAGACAATTTGCGTCCAGAGGGAGACTTTGAGCGCCCAGAGAAACCTGGATATCGTCCAGCTGAGCGCCCACAACAAAGACGTCCTGAAGACAATCTGCGCCCTGAAGGGGACTTTGAGCGTCCGACCCCAACAAAAGTTGGCCCAGGTGAACGTCGAACGCCCATCAAACACGACGATAATTTGCGCCCAGAGGGCGACTTTGAACGTCCCGAAAAGCCCGGATATCGTCCAGCTGAACGACCACAACAAAAACGCCCTGAAGACAATCTGCGCCCTGAAGGGGACTTTGAGCGCCCAACTCCCACAAAAATTGGCCCAGCTGAACGCAGAACGCCCATTAAGCATGACGACAATTTGCGTCCAGAGGGCGACTTTGARCGTCCCGAAAAGCCCGGATATCGTCCAGCTGAACGACCACATCAAAAACGCCCWGAAGACAATCTGCGCCCTGAAGGAGACTTTGAGCGCCCAACTCCCACAAAAATTGGCCCAGCTGAACGCAGAACGCCCATTAAGCATGACGACAACTTGCGTCCTGAAGGAGACTTTGAGCGCCCAGAGAAACCTGGATATCGGCCAGCTGAGCGCCCAGAACAAAAACGCCCTGAAGACAACTTGCGTCCTGAGGGAGATTTTGAGCGTCCAACTCCGACTAAAATCGGCCCCGGTGAACGTCGCACGCCAATTAAACATGACGACAATTTGCGTCCGGAAGGAGAATTTGAGCGCCCAGAGAAGCCAGGTTACCGCCCGGCGGAGCGCCCACAACAAAAGCGCCCAGAGGACAATCTCCGGCCTGAAGGCGAATTTGAGAAACGTACACCAGATAAATTTGTCCCTGCTGAACGACCGCAACCAAAGCGCCCTGCGGACAATTTGCGCCCCGAGGGAGAATTTGAACGCCCCTCTCCAACTAAAATCGGACCTGCTGAACGAAGAACTCCTATTAAGCATGGCGACAATCTCCGCCCAGAAGGCGACTTTGAACGCCCAGAGAAGCCTGGTTACCGTCCGGCTGAACGACCACAACAAAAGCGCCCTGAGGACAATCTGCGCCCCGAAGGGGACTTTGAACGTCCCACACCAACTAAAATCGGTCCAGCTGAACGTAGAACTCCGATTAAGCACGACGACAATTTGCGTCCAGAGGGAGACTTTGAGCGCCCTGAAAAACCGGGATACCGCCCAGCTGAGCGACCGCAACAGAGGCGCCCTGAAGACAATCTTCGACCTGAGGGCGACTTCGAGCGACCAACTGCCGCCCCCGTTGGTCCAGGCGAACGACGAACGCCCATTAAACACGGCGACAATTTGCGTCCAGAAGGCGACTTTGAGCGCCCAGAAAAACAGGGATACCGCCCAGCTGAACGGCCACAACAGAAGCGCCCTGAAGACAATCTTCGTCCAGAGGGTGAGTTTGAGCGTCCCGAAATCAAGGAAATTGGACCTGCAGAGCTGCGCAAACCCATCAAACACGAAGACAATCTTAGACAAGAAGGCAGCATGCTGGTTACAAGGCGGGATGACTACAAAGTCATCCAGGGTGAACGAGTGGACGTTGTTCGACATGAGGATAATCTAAAAATGGAGGGAAAATTCACCGATACGAGAACCAGAGATGATTTCACAGTCGTAAAGGGCGAACGCTCGGAAATTGTGAAGCATGAGGACAATTTGAAGATCGAGGGCGAATTCACCGAGCGAAGATCAAGAGACGACTACAAGGTGGTGAAAGGCGAAAGGGCGGAAGTGATCATCAGGAAAGACAATCTTCGAATGGAAGGTGAATTCAACGAGTACCGAAAACGGGATGAATTTACCACACGCACTGAGAAGACGGAAGTGGTACGGCACGAAGACAACCTGAAACTTGAGGGCGACTTCGAGCGGCCGACGCCTACTAAAGTGGGGCCTGGAGAGCGTCGAAGACCGATCAAGCACGACGACAATTTGCGGCCAGAGGGCGACTTTGAGCGTCCGACTGCCGCCCCTGTAGGGCCGGGCGAAAGAAGAACGCCCATTCGGCACAGCGACAACTTGCGCCCAGAGGGCGACTTTGAAAGACCCGAAAAGCCTGGATTTAAACCTGCAGAACGTCCGACGCCTACTAAGCCTCAGGATAATCTTCGGCCAGAGGGCGACTTTGAGCGCCCAACTGCTTCTCCTATAGGACCGGGTGAGAGAAGGACGCCAATACGGCACAGTGACAACTTGCGCCCGGAGGGCGACTTTGAAAGACCCGAAAAGCCCGGATTTAAGCCTGCGGAACGTTCAACCCCCACTAAGCCACAAGACAATCTTCGGCCAGAGGGCGACTTTGAGCGGCCAACGGCCGCCCCTAGAGGTCCAGGGGAACGAAGAACGCCCATTAGACACGGCGACAATTTGCGTCCGGAAGGCGACTTCGACAGGCCCGCAAAGCCCGGCTATCAGCCAGCCGAAAGGGTCACGCCTAAAAAGCCGCAAGATAACTTGCGGCCGGAGGGCGACTTTGACCGAAGCACCCCTTCAAAAATTGGACCTGGGGAACGAAGAACTCCCATTCGGCATGCGGATAACCTGCGCCCTGAAGGCAATTTCGACCGGCCTCAGAAGACGCGCTACGGACCGGGAGAACGAGCTGATATCGTGAAACATCCCGACAATCTGAAGCCAGAGGGCGAGTTTACCGGCACCCCTAAGAGTAGGGACGATTTTAAGCCAACCAGGGGCGAGCGGGCGCCAGTGAAGAAGCCGCAAGACAACCTGAAGGTCACTGGGGAGTTCCAGGACACCACCATGACCAAGTCCCAGTACACGGTGGTTCAAGGCGAGAGGGCGGAAGTGAAGAGGCGCGAAGATCAGCTGAAGGTGGGCAGCGGAAAGATGGAAACTTTGACCACAAGCAAACAAACATTCGAATCCAGTCCGAGTAAAACGCCAGAACGCACTGTGGTGGACACCAGACGGCACATGCAGTCGCATTTTAGTCTTGGTGATGACAAGTCGCATACCATGCAAACCACCAACCAGAGCAACTATAACACGTACACGAAGAAGGTTTCCGATAAGAAGGTGATGGAGAATGTGGAGAAGCGCACCAGCAATGTGGTGGAGAAGAAGGTGGTTTCCAACGAGGATCTAGTGGTCAAAAAGGGTGGCAAACATGAGACTAATGTGACTACGACTGATGGCTTGGCTACCTCCACACAAACACGCAGTAAGTCAATTACCAGTTCTAGTTTGTTAGTATTAGGGCTCGGGATTTTAAAAATCGAATTTCTTTACTAAATGTGCACAAACGACCCGGAAAATTTCACAGAACGGTGAAGACAAACTTCCCCTTTCAAACAATCAGCAAATTTCGCACAAGAGTGCCAAAAGTCACACACCGTTACTAACCGAGACTAACTCGATGAAATGAAACGACTATCAACATGCTGTTGATGCTTAACAGCTTGAGAGATTTATGTAACTGTGTACTTTTAACTCTAAATAACCCTCAATTGCTTCAAACTAAGATTGGGTTCCTTTTATTCAGTTTTGAGTCAATATTCACTATTTCCTTGTTTTTGTCCTAGCAAATAACAGAAGAAAAGTGACAAAAAACTATTGAATTTAACAATAAATGTTTTGCAAGTGTTCCTTTGTCACGTTTATCACATTTTTTAAACAGTAAAAAATGCAACTGCCCGATGCATTTACATTTTCAAATATGGAAAAAGTAGCGCAAAATCTAAATGGTTGGCCAGGATCACTCACAGCCTATAAGACTATTCGCCAAATGGAAAGTTATGATGCTAAACTTACCGAATGCTGCATCGTGCCACCTGGAATTAAAGAAAAACGTTCTGTAGTACAAGAATTTCAGAAATTTAGTCTAAACCCCAGTTATTTCATTGGAAAGAAAATTAAATCTCAACACAACTTCAGTTGCTTCTCGAAAAACTATACTCAGTTCAAGCTACTTCTTACCAGCTTGCCCTAGCTGTTGCACGATCCTCCAGTTTCCACCCATTAAACCGGCAAAATACACACACTACACTTGATTGCACAATGAATATCCATTATCCATCCATCAAATTGAGCAGTTAATACGCAAGATGATCGACCGCACTTGCCCAAGTAGCACCATATCAGATGAAATTATTAATGTCCAGATATCCCGTTTATGAACAAAGAATCAACGCCCGATTTCGCTCGTTGCCTATAATAAACTGAAGTAAATGTTAAATGTTCAGGTTCTAGCAAAAACTCATGCGATATTAAGGTGTTTATCACATTAAAAACGCACCGAGCTACAGAACTTACATAATGATATAATCGTTTGCTTGCTGGCCCTTCGGATGACTCATCGTTTTGCTATGCTGTTCAATTTCAGCTTCTTTATTGACACTTTTTAGAAAATTCCAGTTCACGATCCAACTGGTTTGGATATTTAGCGTTAACAAAGTCGCTTTCTCAAAGATAAGCAAACATTGCCGTTCATGCGGCGACTTTTATATTCTCAATTAAATACGGGCCCTCCGATCAAACTTTTGATCAATTCCCCTCTAAACCGCATCCCAATTTCCAGTGTTTTCGTGTTTAAATTTTATTTTTGCTTAAAGTTGGAACCTCAACAACATTTTCCACTTGGTTCTTGCCTGTCATTAATTTTTCTTACTACCGATATGAAAATTCGTATCTAAAATGGCAAATTCAGATAAGGATCCAGGATGCTTTTTTCTGCTCGCGTCAATGCAAGCGACGGAATAAATGACCTATTTTCAAGATGTTTTCAATAAATTAACTGTGTCTTTCTGTTTCCGAGGCTTGATCTAACAAATGACACATGAAAATGAATCTTTTGCAAATGCAAGTTTTTATTTTGCGGATAATTTGCCCAGATCAATTATAAGAATAGGTATCTAAATTCAATCGTCATGATTAATCGGAGTTTTTCCACGCCAGAGATAAGGGGCACTTATCACCACTCGCACATTTACTCTATTTTTACGAATTATTACTTGTCATTTATTATTTATAAAAATAAAAAAACTATTAGATTCGTGGTCTATTAGAAGAAAGATTAAATTCTACTAAGTACTAAATAATCGTACTAATCGTACTGTGCAGTTTTTGAGTTGCTAAGTTGAATCTTCTTGCAAGTTTGGATCTCAAAAAGGACAAATGAAAATTGTAGAGCAAACATCCGGCCAAAAAACTGCCATGTAAATGCACAAATTCGCTACAGTTGCATTGAGATTATTTGTGAAATTTGTGACGTGTAAAATTAGAATACTGTGTGGTTTCCTAGCATCTTAGTAATACAGGGTTGCTCATTAGTGCGTCAAAGTGCGATATCTCAGTAAATATGAAGTTTACAAGAAAATTCGTCCAACGAAAGTTTTTCACGTTTAA